CCCGAAAATGCCCCGCCTGCTGAAGGCAGGCTGGCGGGGGTTGTTCCACCTCGGTGGCGCGGATGGCAGCGTCCGCGGCGCATCTCCATGTGTGTTTTTATGATCGTTTATGAGACCTACGGAGAAGAAGACAGCGTCTGTTAATCACCGGTCCCATGGGAGTTTGACAGCATCACAGCGCTGGTTTTCCTTGCGCTGCAATGAGGACGATCGCTCCGTGCAGGCTCGCACAGGCTACATTTCAGATAACCGGTGCTGGAAGGAAAAACTGAAGAGAAATATCTCCCTCAATCCTCACAAATCAGCAACAAAAGCTATTTCACAGGACAGTTCAGCACAGGTCTGAACCACAGACTCACCAACAGACCCTTAACAAGCTGCACTAACACTGTCAGCCACCTTTCGCCCCTTTACGCTCTTTTTTATGTGCAAAAAACAGATGCTTGAATTACTGGGTTTGGAGCATAATTTTAAAAAAATGTGAATTTTATTTCCAGATATCTTTTCAGAGCAGTCTCTGAGGGTCGGCTCACACACACAGCCCAGCACGGTCACCACCAGCCCCAAACACAAAACAAAGAATTATGGAATCGTTTAGGTTGGAAAAGACCTCTAAGATCACGGAGTCCAACTGTTAACGCAGCGCTGCCAAGCCCACCACTAAACCGTGTCCCTAAGCACCACATCCACACGGCTTTTTAATACCTCCAGGGATGGGGACTCAACCACTTCCCTGGGCAGCCTGTGCCAGGGCCTGACAACCCCTTCCGTGAAGAAATTGTTCCTAATATCTGATCCAAACCTGCCCTGGTGCAACTTGAGGCCATTTCCTCTCATCCTATCGCTTGTTACTTGGGAGAAGCGATTGACCCCCACCTCGCTCCAGCCTCCTTTCAGGCAGTTGTAGAGAGCGACAAGGTCTCCCCTCAGCCTCCTCTTCTCCAGGCTGAGCACCCCCAGCTCCCTCAGCTGCTCCTCACAGGACTTGTGCTCCAGACCCTTCCCCAGCTTCGTTGCTCTTCTTCAAAGCAGCAACAAGGAGGCTCTGAGCTTTGCTGTTGAGTCACTGCACATCCCTCTGCCAAGCCACCACACCTCCCCGGTGCTTCGCTCTACTAAAGAAGTCGTTTGGATAATAGATGTGTATCAATCAGGGAGGGGCTGCACTTGTTAAGCCTCAGTGTTTAGAAAACACTTCCGATAAAAGGGATTATCAAAGGATTTTTGAGCCTTATGTTTAAAAGTTTTTCCTACACACTGCTGCCGGAAAAGCAGCATCTGCAGATCCCTCCTGGAGGAGGTGAGGACCATGTTTTCCTCCGTCTCATCACATCTCCCCCAGGCAGGAGCTCCTGGACGGAGGCAGATCCCCCGCAAGGCCTAAGCGGAGTTTGTGGCCTCACTAATGAGGAAAAATTACCTTGGGGTCTATAAATAGAGCGAGTTAGTGCTAAGAATAAGCGCTGATGCTCACCAGAGCTAGGAAAGGGCACACAAATATC